AAGTCAACAATGCAAAACGGTTCAAAGGCAACTGTTATACTTGTGGGAAGTTGGGACATCGGGCTAAAAACTGTCAAAGCAAAAAGAAGGATACACAGAAAAAGAAACCACCCCAAGCCAATATAACCGAAGTGGATAAAATTTCTACGGATGTTGGAGACATCAACCTATCTGCTCTTGTTTCTGAAGTTAATTTGGTATCTAATGCCAAGGATTGGTGGTTGGACACAGGAGCCACTCGTCACATCTGTGCAGATAAGGGTCTATTCGCTGAATATAAGACCTTGAATCATAATGAGTGTCTTTACATGGGAAATTCTACAACATCCAATATTGATGGGATTGGAAAGGTTATTCTGAAATTCACATCGGGGAAGGAACTAACGCTTAATGAAGTTGTACATGTCCCAGATATCAGAAAGAATTTGATTTCAGGAGCTATTCTTAGTAAGAAAGGATTTAAAATGGTGTTTGAATCTGATAAATTTATACTTACTAAGGGGGGCATGTATGTTGGGAAGGGTTATTTACTTGACGGTCTATTTGTGATCTAAAATTTGTTCAGACTCGAGGTGGTAAAAAATACTTTATCACATTTATAGATGATCACAGTAGATATTGCCAAGTTTATTTATTAAGTAGCAAAGACGAAGTATTGAATGCATTTGTTACTTACAAAAACGAAGTTGAAAATCAACTTGGAAAAACAATTAAGGTATTAAGATCTGATAGAGGTGGTGAATATGATTCGTCCATGTTTGATGAATTATGTGCTAAGTTTGGTATTATTCACCAAACAACAGCCCCGTATACTCCGCAGCAAAATGGAATTGCTGAGAGGAAAAATAGAACTCTAAAAGACATGGTTAATGCCATGCTTATAAGTTCAGGATTACCACAAAACTTGTGGGGGGAAGCAGTGCTAACTGCTAGCTTTATTCTGAATAGAGTTCCCCATAAGAAAACTGGTTCGATACCTTATGAGTTATGGAAAGGTAGAATGCCTTCCTATAAATACTTAAAAGTGTGGGGGTGCCTAGCTAAAGTGGCTATTCCACCTCCCAAAAGGATTAAGTTAGGTCCTAAAACTATTGATTGCATTTTTATCGGATATGCAATAAATAGTAGTGCGTACAGATTTCTTGTACATAAATCTGATATAAGTGACATTCATGTCAATACAATTTTTGAATCTTGAGATGCTGAATTCTTTGAAGATGTGTTCCCTAATAAAAGAGATATTCGTGAGAATACTCAAAAGAGAACACGAGATAATGCTATTGAAAACAATATAGAACCTGAATCAAGAAGGAGTAAAAGAGCAAAGGTCACTAAATCCTTTGGTCCAGACTTTATTTCTTTCGTAATTGAGAAAGAGCCACAAACATTTAAAGAAGCTGTGACTAGTCCAGAATCCGTATTCTGGAAGGAAGCTATAAATAGTGAAATTGAATCTATTATGAATAATAATACTTGGCAATTGATTGATCTTCCTAAGGGAACTAAACCAATAGGATGCAAATGGATCTTTAAAAGAAAGTTAAGATTTGATGGTTCAATAGAAAAATACAAGGCTCGACTGGTTGCAAAAGGATATCGTGAGAAAGAAGGAATTGATTTCTTTGACACATATTCTCCAGTAACAAGAATTACTTCTATTCGGGTTTTAATTGCTATTGCAGCCTTGTACAACTTACAAATACATCAAATGGATGTTAAGACTGCATTCCTGAATGGTGATTTAAACGAAGAAGTATTTATGGAACAGCCAGAAGGTTGCATAGTGAAAGGACAAGAGAACAAAGCTTGCAAACTAGTTAAGTCCTTATACGGTTTGAAGCAAGCTCCTAAACAATGGCACGAAAAGTTTGACAGCGCCATGGTTAGGAATGGATTGGTCATAAATGGATGTGACAAATGCGTATATTCGAAAAAATTCGAAAAGGCATACGTACTCGTCTGTTTGTATGTTGATGACATGCTTCTATTAGGAACTAATATAGAAGTCATCAATGGAACAAAGAACATACTCACCAAAAACTTTGACATGAAAGATATGGGTGAAGCAGATGTGCTTCTAGGAATAAAGATATCTAGAACATCAAATGGAATAGTCTTATCTCAAACCCATTATGTTGATAAAATAATTGAGAGGTTTAAGACTCATAATATTAAAGAAACCAGTAACCCATTTCTTCCACATATAGTTCTTCATAAGAATAGTGGAAATGGGAAACAACAGTTAGAATATTCCCAAATTATTGGTAGTTTTAATGTACCTGATGAATTGTACAAGACCTGATATAGCTTACTCGGCAAGTAAGCTGAGTCGTTACACAAGTAATCCAAGTAATCAACATTGGGACTCATTACTTAGAGTTTTGGGATACTTGAAACGGACCAGAGAGCATTCATTACATTATGGAAAATATCCTCCAGTAATTGAAGGATATAGTGATGCCAATTGGATATCAGATACAGACGAGTCAAAGTCTACCAGTGGCTATGTATTTACTCTTGGTGGTGGCGCTATATCATGGAAATCTTCTAAGCAAACGTGTATAGCTCGATCTACTATGGAATCTGAGTTTATTGCTTTAGACAAAGCAGGAGAAGAAGTAGAATGGTTAAGACATTTCATAGAAGATATTCCTATATGGCCAAAGCCGGTACCGGCTATTTGTATTCATTGTGATAACCAGGCCACAGTAGCCAGAGCTGAAAATTTTGTGTATAACGGTAAGTCGAGACATATACGTCGTAAACATAACACCGTTCGGCAGTTGCTCTCAAATGGAACAATATCAATTGATTTTGTTAAGTCAAAAGAAAACCTAGCGGATCCGTTTACTAAAGAGTTATCTAGAGAGCGTATAGACTGCGCATCGAGGGAAATGGGTTTAAAGCCTAAAACCCAATGAGTCATCTTAGTGAAAACCTAACCTGGCAATTGGAGATCCCATGGACTAGGTTCAATAGGAAAACTAATTATGAATGACTCGATAAGAAGCACTTAGGAGTTTAACTCCTTCCCATTTCTATGATGCAAAAAGTGCTGACTATGAAGTGTATTAAGGATAAGCTTTGCTTTTAATGATGACTATAAATGGTACAAGTAATTACAGTAGGGTACTCTTTATAGTACATCACCTATGTTAGTGCGAACTTGGCCGGTTCTATGAGAATTTATTTAGGCAAATTCTCTAAAGCACTCGCAGAACCCAAGTAGTTGAGGGCCGAAATAATGAACACAATAGAGAACCAAGTTTGATATGAGAGATAATGTATTTGGTCTATTGTCTGAGCTTGCAATAACGGCTGACAGTTCAAAACATTGCGTTCACTGATTAGCCAAATGAGTTCGATAGATTCTTACTAAAGAAGGTTCAAAGCGAAAGCTACCTATCTTGATGCGTTATCTTTCAGATAGTACTCTTCTTCCGTCTTTCTTGATTTGAGTCGACTTCTTCCATTCATGTGGGGGATTGTTGGAATTAATTGAATTTGATTTTGGGTTTAAAATATTAAATGTAATATTTAATGATGTGAGCCATTACAATTAATTTGGATGAATTGGAGAAGTCTCCAATATAGGCCTATATGTTGATAAGCCAATTTTAAGTGTTTTTTATATGGAAAGGAGTCCCATATCGAAAGTTTACAAGAAAATAGTCTTGTTTATATAGTGGGTTGTGTGAATAATATATAATTTAATAAGTTACCTACCACTTGGCTAACTTTAGCTAGCCAAAGGCTAGTCACCACTAGAGTGGTGCCTCGCACCACTCCCCGAACCCGGTCCCGATACGCGCACGTCGCAAAGTACGCATTGGGCGCTTTAGAGGCGCACTTTGCACGTACGCATCGTTGCGAGGAGTTGGGGAGCCTTATAGTTTTCGGAAATGGACTCGTGGTAGCGCAAGGCTTGGTGATTTGGCATTTTAGGTGGCGCACGTGTGGTAGGTCGCGTCCCTTCGTCCTGCGTGGCGGTTAGATGTACGCGTGGCATCCACATAGCTGTGACTGTTCAGAAATTGGTGAATAGGCATGATGAATGGACACTTCACTTTATGGTTCAATCTGAGCCGTCAGATCATGAAAATAGTGCGATCCAATGGCTAAGACGAATCAGACCAAGTGGTGCACCAGTTCCTGAAATGTCACACACCTATTCCATGAGACACTTCAATCTCTATAAATAGAGACCCCCAGATTCGTTTTTGACACACCAAATCAATTACGAATCCAATTGATTTCTAAATTCTTCTCTCTTCATATTCTGCTCTAAAAATTCTCTTATATTTCCGTTGTTATTCCGTTCGAGTACGATCTTTCATTGGTCCGACCGACAAGGTTGGTATTGTGCAGTATCGACTTTGGAAGGAGCATTGTATCTTGGGAGACAGACGTCCATAATCTCGTTTGCACTTCATTTGGAAGCGAAATCTGTCTTAAGGAGATTTGTTTATTTTATTGGCATACCTCGCTTCATTTACTGTTTTCTATTTTTCTGCTTATTTTATTTGTTCTTTTGATTGCGTTAGTCGAATTTCCGACAACATTTTTACCGAAATGTCAGAAGAAAAAACTGAAATGCAATCCACACCATTTCTGTATCTATTGTGTTTCTGCAATATCGTGGCTTAACTCCTGCGATAACCAAAAACGTTAACTAATTTATTGCAATTTCAATTAAACCAAAATGACACTGCACAACTTACACCGAACGACGTTGCAATAATATGAATTTCAGATATTACCGTTGGCTCCCTCCTTTCTTCCTTCTTCTTCTCCCTTCTTTCTTCTAGTTCTGAATCCTTTCCTTCCCCAATTGCTCTCGACATGACAACTCTTCCACTTACCTTGATCTTGTCCCCAAGATCCACAGAGAGGAAACTGCAATTTGATCCGGTCCGCATCTTGTTGGGCAAAATCACTTATTGCAAAATCCCATATAACATATCTTACCAAGTTGCACAATCTGGAATAGAATTGGCCCACTAAATGAGCCACTGAATGGGGGAGCCATTTCTGTGTGTAACAGTTCTGGATTCTAGGATGGACAGTGGATGATGTGCTGGTAGTTTGGTCTGACCTTCATCAGGTAATTGACGGACCGCCATTGCCCTGTCACCCAACTTCTTCTTTAATAACAAACCATGAAAGACTGGATGAATTTTTGAGGCAGTAAGAAGTGCTAACTGATAAGCCACTGTCCCTATTTTCTTGATAATCTGATTGGGACCAAAATACTTTGCACCCAGTTTATGATTTTGCCTATTTTCCAAAGATTGTTTCTTGTAGGTGTGGAGCTTCAGGAACACCCATTCTCTTACTTCAAATGACCTCTCAGTCCTCTTTTTATCAACAAAGAGTTTCATCCTGGCAGTTGTCTTTGAGAGTTTTTCTTTCAGTTGCTGGTTTAATTTATACCTTTATTGTAGCCATTCTTTCACTGATGCCACATTGGATTGCTAATGTGGATCCAAGGAGATCTGTAGTAGTTTGGTTCCATAAAGCTTCAAAAGGAGTCATCCTAATGGAGGAGTGAAGGTGGTATTGTACCACCATTCAACAAGAGATAGCCATTTTCCCCACTATTTGGGCTGTTGATGTGTCATACACCTTAAGTAAATCTCTACACATTGATTTGACCTCTCAGTTTGCCCATTTGACTGAAGATAATAGGCTGAGCTCAAGTGGAGTTGTGTACCCATCAATTTAAATAATTCTTGCTAGAATCTGTTTGTGAATACTTTGTCTCTATCAAAGATAATGCTGTGTGGCAACCTATGAAGTTTAAAAACAGTATCAAAGAAGATCTTAGCAACTGTGATTGTTGTGAATGGGTGAGAAATAGAAATGAAGTGTCCGTACTTTGTGAATCTATCTACCATCACCAAAAGTGTCTTTCCCTCCTGAGTTAGGTAAACCTTCAATGAAGTCCATGCTTATGTGACTCCAAGCATGTAATGGAACGCGTGCAGCAATCCAGGATAAGGAGTTTGTTCTCCCTTAAACTTTTGGCAAATCTCACACTGCATTAACTCATTTCAAATGTCCTGGTTTATCCCTGCCCAGTAAAAGTGTTGTTTGGCTCTATATATACTGCTGTGAATGCGTGAGTGTCCCCCTTCTTGAGATCCATGGATATTCTGAATCACCTTTGATCTAATTTTCCCACCCTTGCCAATTTAGATTCTGTTTTAATACTTCAAAACACCATTGTTGTACTTAAAGTTTGGATCAAAGCTAGGATTCAGTAGTAAGGTCTGTATTTTATCCTCAGCCATCGTATCCTCCTTATAGCTTTTCGTTACTTCTTGGATCCATGTAGGAATCATCATGGTAACCCCAGAACATTCCACCTCTCTTTCATGCCTTCTCGATAAGGCATCGGCCACAAAATTATCAACTCCCCTTTTATAAATTATCTCATAACTTAGTCTTAATAGCTTGGTGAGCAATTTCTGTTGGAGGGGAGTATTGATTCTTTGTTCCAACAAATATTTGAGAGACTAATGGTCTGTCTTGATGATAAAATGGTTGCCCTCTGGATAGTGCCTCCTTTTACTAGTGGCTGTTACCAGTGCTAGCAATTCTTTCTCATAAATCGACATTCCCATATTTCTAATCCCAATAGCCTTGCTCAAATAAGCCAGTGATTTCTTGTCTTGCATCAACATAGCCCCAACCCCTCCTTGAAAGGCATCGGTTTCAATAATAAATGGTTTATGAAAATCAGGTAAGGCCAACACAGGTGTGGAACGCATAGATTGTTTCAACTGATCAAAGGCTGCACTTGCATCTTCTGTCCATGGAAATTGTCTTTCTTAAGCATGTCTGTCAGTGGTTTTGCTATTACTCCATAACCTCTAACAAATTTTCTGTAGTAACCAGTCCACCCAAGGAAGCCTGTCAATTGTTTGATGTTTTCGGCTTAGGCTAAAGCTGTATAGCTTCTACCTTGCTGGGATCTGCTAAGATGCCTTTATGGCTGATAATATTATCAGTAGGGATCTAATTATGGATTACCCCTTTCCTCTCTCTTTTCCCTTTCTTAGTAAAGCGTGATTTTGTAATTGTGGAGGAGTGATTATTGTAACGGCAGCGTGATTAGTGTAATGGCTAAGATTGACCCTTGTAATCAGAAACGCACACACTATATAATACAAGCAACTCTCATTTGGAGAGTCATTGGAAAACCAAATCGAGTTTGTTTAACTGATAACCTTCAAGTATTCTGAAATTTGAAATTCATCATTATCGCATGCATTATCAACACCTAAACTACCTTGACATGCATACGTTTGGATGTGTTTGTTTTGTTCATCTACCTTCTCATGAAAGAAGCAAACTTTCCGCTCAAGCTGATAAATGCGCGTTTATAGGTTACGGTGTTTCTCATAAAGGATATGTTTGCTACGATCCATGCTCCAATAGATTTCGTATCTCTCGTCATGTGATTTTCTTTCAAAATCAATATTTCTTTCCCACTCATTTTAAGTCTTTATCGAAGACACCTGCCCTTCCACACTTTGATGATTTGTCCTCTACCCTAAACGGTTCAAGCTTGGATTCGTGTATGAACAATGACGCCCAACTTTGCCCCACATGTACCAGACCCGCCATTTGAGGCTGCTTAGACACAACCTTCCATGAATGAGCTGGACTCAGACACTAACATTCGTCGTTCCACCAGAATTTCTCATCCTCCTGATCAGTATGTATTTTCTTATACATCTGTTTATCCTACTTTGTCATCTATTTCCATACCTAGGGTATTCTAAGGTAATAAAACATGAATGTTGGCGAGAGGCAATGGCAAACGAACTTCATGCACTTAAAGATAATGATACTTGGGATGTTGTTCATTGTCCTGGGAATGTTAAGGCCATTGGTTGCAAATGGGTTTACTCAATCAAATTATGGTCTGATGAGACTGTGGATAGATATAAGGCACGGTTGGTTGCTTTTGGTAACAGACAGGAGTATGGTATTGATTATGAGGAGACTTTTGCTGCAGTAACCAAGATGACCACGGTGCGGACGGTTATTTCTATTGTTGCTTCTCAAGGTTGGCCACTTCATCAAATGGATGTAAAAAATGTCTTTCTCCGTGGAAATCTCAAAGGAGAAGTTTACATGACACTACCTCCAGGCTTAACCTCTTGCTCTTCCTCAAAAGTTTGTAAGTTGAAGCGCTCATTATATGTGTTGAAACAGGCTCCACGGGCATGGTTTGACAAGTTCCAATCTACCTTGCTTCACTTTTCATTTCAGCAGAGCCAGTATGACTCTTCCTTATTCCTTTGCAAGAGCTTTACCAGTATTGTTCTTCTCCTCATCAATGTTGATGATATTGTAATCACTGGAACAGATTCCGCTTTGATTACTCGTCTACAGTAGCATCTTCAGGCCTCTTTTCATATGAAGGATCTTGGATCTCTTATGTACTTCTTAGGGTTGGAACTTCACACGGATTCCTCTATTATTTTCCTGAATTAGCATAAATACACGCAAGATTTGATTAAGTTGGCCGGTCTTCAGGATTCATCTACTGTGAGGAAGGTGATCTTCTCTCTGATCTTACCGTGTATCGTCAACTAGTGGGGAGCTTGAATTATTTGACTATTAGGAGACCTGATATTTCTTTCGCAGTCCAGCAAGTTAGCCAGTTCATGCACATTCCACATCATCTCCATCTAGCTGCCATTCGTCGTAACATTGGCTATTTTCGAGGCACATCTAGTCTTGAATTTTTCTTTCTTGCCGGCTCTTCTCTTTGTCTTACTGTTTATAGTGATGTTGATTATGCTGGTTGTCCAGACTCTCGACGTTCTGTCACGGGTGGTGCACGTTTCTTGGTGATTCTCTGATATCTTGAAAAAGTAAGAAGCAAGATCCTGTTTTCAAGTCATCTACTGAATCTGAATATCGGGTGATGCTTGCTGCTTGTTCCGAGATTATATGGCTTCAAGGGCTTCTTGCCGAACTTGGTTTTCCTCAATCTCTTCCTACTCCACTCCATGTCGACAACACAAGTGCCATTCAGATTGCTGCTAATCCGGTTTACCATGAGCGAACTAAGCATATTGAAGTGGATTGCCATTCTATTCGTGAGGCTTTGGATACTTGTGTCATTTCTCTTCCTTACATTTCCATTGCTCTTTAGAAAGCTGACATTTTTACAAAATCTCTAATGCGAAATCGTCATCAATTTCTTGTAAACAAATTGATGCTTCTTGATCGACCAGCATCAATTTAAAGGGGAATATCAGTAGGGATCTAATTATGGATTATCCAATTCTCCCATCTTTTCCCTTTCCTAGTTAGGCATGATTTTGTAAGTGTAGAGGAGTAATTATTGTAACGGTAGCGTGATTAGTTTAATGGCTAGAGTGATTAGTGTAATGGCTAAGATTGATCATTGTAATCAGAAACACACACTATATAATGCAAGCAACTCTCGTTTGGAGAGTCATTGGAAAACCAAATCGATTTTGTTGACAAATATGGCCTAAGCACTCGACTTGATTTTGCCTAAAACTGTATTTAGATAACTTGGCTTATAGCTAGTGCCTCTGCAAGATTTCCACTATTGATTGAAGATGCTGACAGTGTGTAGATAGATTAGTTCTATACACTAGAATATCATCAAAAAACACCAAGACATGCCTCAATTGGTCTTTGAAAACCTCATTCATGAGGCTTTGGAACTTGGCCAGGGCATTAGTGAGGCCAAATGGCACCAATTTAAACTCACACAACCCTTGATGAGTTTTAAAAGCGGTCTTGTGGATATCCCCTTCAGTGACCCTAATTTGATGATAGCTTGCCCTTAGATCAATTTTTGAGAAAAATCTTGCACATGTAGTTCATCTAGTGGCTCATCGATAAGTGGCATAGGGAAATTTTTTTTGATGGTCAAGCTATTTAACTGCCTATAGTCCAAGCAAAACCTCCAGGACCCATCTTTTTTTTCTTGATCAACAGACTGGTGATGCAAAGGGTCTATTACTGTTTTGGATGATTCCAGTGTTAGGCATCTCTTTGATTAATTTCTCTATCTCAGTTTTCTGAATAAAAGGGACATATATTGGGTCGAATCTTGAAGGGCGGGGCTTCCTCTTTCAATGGAATATGGTGGTCATGTGACCTACGAGGGGGTATTCCCTTTGGCTCTTCAAATACTTTGCCAAACTGTTGAATAACCTCTGTGATTCTGCTGGCTATCTCTCTTGTCTTCCTCATGAGGATATATA